GCTTTTCCATTTTAATCGAATTCATAATCAATCTGTCAGTTAGTCAGTCAGTTACAACGTAGGACCAGGCACATATATGCACATCAGTCTAAGTTGCCATACCTCGTTAGCACAACAAGATGAACATCAAATTCATAGAAGTAGTCACTTCAATGGCAGTAATGTATAAAAGAAAGATGGTAATAAGGATATAACAGAGGGAGAAAGAATTAGTTGGTAGAAAAAAAGGTATGAAGCTATTTGAATCTCATAGTTTAAGGGAAGATAGAGAGTGTATATACCTACATCATTGTGATCCATTCTGAGCCATGTCACCCTGAGTCTCCAACCATTAGTTACGATAGTCAAACGGTTGTCGATAATTGATAGTTTGTATTTGAATATGAATGACTTAACTCACAGTTCACTTTATCCAATGTAGTAGTTTATATTAATCTATCATACATGATAAATATATATTTCTCTTTTTTTTGCTGTTGTTGTTGTTGTTGGTATTCTGATATCTGCGATTGATTTTAACCAGGAAAATTTTTTTATTATTTTTACAATTTAATTCATTGTTTACAAACAACTTTATGACTGTATTCATCATCATCATCATCATCATCATCATCATCATCACATACACACAGATACACAAACAGAAATTCTAACATTCATCCTCCTTGCCTCCCCATCTCTCTCTCTCTCCTTCTCTCTGTAAGTATTTCAGCATGAATGACAGTTCAAAATCAACGAGGAATTTCATTCAAACTATCTATGTTTGTTTAATGCTTCATTCTAAATTTCTCTTTATTTTGATGTCACTTATAATTATAATTTACTTCGATCATATTAGATAGATTGCATGAATGAAATGGAATCCTAATGTTTAAAATGTGTCCGACATTTTAGAAAAACAAAAAAAAAACAGAAAAAAAAGCAATGGATAGAATGATCATGTAAGAACTAGAAATCCTATGTAGGAGTCTGTCTAAATTAGTACATAAACCTCCTTCAGCAATGATAGTGTAGTGAAGGGGAACAGGAGTGGGGATAACCGAATTACATTCAGCACGAAATCACAGAGTTATTTGGTAAAATAGAAAATCTATACGATAATACTTAATTTGCGAAATGTTCAATAATTGTCTCGAACTTCGCTGTTCTTGCATTTCCATACTAATTGCTCTCTATTCCCGTTCTTCCTTTCTTGATCTTTCCCATCTTCTGCTGCCAGACATTACATTACTGACTCGCGTCATATACTACTTATATCAATATAAGTAGCACGCACCACAATAGTAGATTATCAAAATTTCATCGAGAGTGTAAAATGAGGATATTGAATTGTTATTGGTAATATGATGACTTTAAATCAGGATTAGAAATGAATGATTAACATTTAGATTGTTAATCAGCTTAGAATGTAACAGTATCATCATACATTATGGATGGAGGGTTCTGTTCTCTGAGCTGGATGGTTTGGTCGTGGAGCTTTCATCGTCCTTCTGGATGGAGGGTTCATTTTTTCAAAAAATAAAAAAAAGAATAAAACTACCATTTAGGGAATTGTAATCGTGAACTCAAGCAATTAGTTACTCGTCCAAATAATACCGTAGAAAGATTATACTTTTTAAGCCAATTTAGATAAATACATGTGTGTTAATTCGCTAGATGTTGAATGGAATTTATAACTCGAAGACCAAACTGTGTCAGATGTGAATCATTTACTCATTGAAGACAATAAAAAATGGTAGAGCAATGTCATGTATTGGGTGATGTTAGAAATTAGCACTGTGCATTTGTTAACATGTCTATAAAGTAACTTCATTTTAATTGAAACAATCCAAAGTCTTACAATTGTTGTACACTTCTGTAAACTTCTATCTAAATTCACTTGGTATTGTTTACTTGAATCTTCCCATTGTTATTTACGATTGAAATTGATCAGTCTCTTATTGGCATAAGTGCGTTGTGTACGGATTGCCTCGATATTGCTTTAATTCACATGCATTTTAAGCAAAGATGGATAATGGCTAATAGTGGAATCTAGGACGCAAAAGGTCAATCGATGGTAATCAAAAGTGAACTTAAGGTCAAGTGCACTACATCGGGGTCAGTGAGTCATTTCCCTAAGGATGGACTGATATATATGTGAATGAACATTTGGGTATTTTATTCGGTAGTTCAACTAACTTCTCTCTCTATGTGTGACTATTTCAGCATGAATTACAGTTCAAAGTTAGCGAGGAATTTCATTCACCGTCTATTTTTGTTTAATGTTTAATGCTAGACATTTTATGCTTAGGGAATTCCAATTTTCTGTAGTTTTTCATTTAGTATCAGTCTGTGATAAAAATTAATTTCACATTAAACAGTAATTGAAAGTCCCTGACAGTCAGTTGTGAATTCTGGCAACCAATTAATCGCCCTAATAATGTAATGGAAAATTTGAAGTTCTACATCAATTTAGATAAATACACGTGTAACTTTGCTAGACGTTCCATGAAATCTAAAGCATGAGGACTAAACGGTGTCAGATGTGAAGCAGTGACTCATCAAAGACAATAAAAGGTGGGAGCGCAGTGTCGCCTGTTGAAAAACGTTAGAAATTAACACTGTTGGGTGAGGGCCCAGTGGTCTAAAGGTTAAGCATTCGCGTGCGGGATCCTAGGTCCTGGGTTCTATCTTCAGTGTTGACGTCATATATGCCCACTCCTGATGATTCCTATACTAGATCAAAACGGCCGTCCAGTGTTTTTAGATTTCCAATGGTGATTTTGCTCAGATCGTTTCATGATTTCAATGAGATTCGACAATCTTCACAACTTCATACTGACAAAGACTACACAACAATCTGATACCGACCAGAAATCAAACAATACCACTCCTAAAGTTCTAATGAGAAAAGTTGGCAGATGAAGTTCAACAATCTCAATAGTGAAATAGTTATCACCGATAATAACTGATTATGGTTAGTGAATAGGTTAATGTTGGAAATTTGAACCATCAATTGCTAACTCAATTGTTTGATGTTTATGCGATCTGAGTTCGAGACATTGAAGGTTTGTGAATGCATATTGTGGCAAAGCAACTTGTACGACTTATTAGTTTTCAAAGAGTATCCAACTGAATTCAGTCTGTTTGTTGCTTAAAGACACCAGCTAATATTAGATAATAGATATTCATTTTTGTTTATGTAGACCACTTGTTTAGTGAATACATTCAATTTAGTGAAAAACAATATTTCTCAGAATTTCTTATCTAAAGAGAGTCAGTTTTTTCTATTATGAATAAATAAACCTATTGTATCGTCCTTGATACCGTAACACTGTGTTATGGGGTCTCTTTTCTCTCAAATTTTAAATGTGGTCAAATCGGCCTATAGTAACTTATTGAGAAACTTCTATCCGAGATAACAAGCTTAAGACATTTCAATATGAAGATTCGAGAATTTCAGGTATGAGTCACTATGGCATAAATTTTGAAATATACTGTAATTGAGAAAGAAACCTTAATAGATGATCAAATTGTTATGTAGATTTAACTGAATTAGGATTGCTTAAGTTTTATTTCTTTTTTAAAATTTTAACTACTATTATTCATAATAGTAGTACAACTGTAAACATGAAAATGTTGTTCTTAGTGACTTAAATGCTTTCAGCTTTGAATTCATTTAAGATTAAACTAATCTGTAAAACAAGTTCATGCTTTCTGATTAGCATATTACAATTGAAATGAGACTACGTTAAATTGTTTTTACATCAAAAACTTTTCTCCGTTGGTTTTACAAGATGTTAATTATGAAGTGATAAGTGAACATTCATTTTATAGATACTTCAGGAGATAACATCTTAGTATTTGAGAACTTGCATTATTCCAGGAGGAATTAACTACATTATTAACAGAGACTTTTTTGGCCATAGAAAATTCTGCCTTTATGAACGTATCTAATTCACAAAATGAATTCTGAGAAAATGAGTTAATAAAGCGGTCTAATTCAATGGACGTTACGTAACTCCTAAGGATAGATAATTTTACTTGTTGTAATTTATGTCAGTTTATAATCATGATTTAACTCTGAAATTTCCTGTGCTTTATTTGTCAAATAGGTGAAGATTTGAAGAAGGTCAGACTTTTAAAATTATTCCACCTAAAATTGTTATTCATTTTTTCAAATTTTAATAATTGAATTCATTAGTCAATCTAAGCTAGACTGCCATTAGAAAACCGGAAGCACTGAACGACTGTACCATTCTTGTATAGGACTCATCAGGAATGCGCGTTCATGACCATTCACATGGGACTCAAACCAAGGACATTCATTCTTACACTCCAACGCTTAACACCCATAGACTATCTTCATTAGATCTACGATTTTGCACAACCCTTTCATCCATTACCTGAGGTGGATGACTGACTCTACTGGACACGGGTTAAACTTCACAGATTACTGCTTCTAACTATAACTCCAAGAGTTCCATCTTGAAGCTTGTCAATAGAGAGTAGATGTTTATTATCAGAATTAAAATTTGTGAAGATTGTAATAATTTTAATTATTGAATTCATAAACCAATCTAAATATATATTGAACATATCAATGAGCTAATTTTAATATTCCCTCGATATTTAGATTCCCTTCTGATGGTCAATCTTCTGTTGTATACTTTTCAAATTCTCTTAGTTACCATTAATATAATTACTAAACTATTACAACAGTTGAGACCACAATAGGACGAAACAGTCGTCCAATGCTTCCAGGTTTTCCATGGTGGTCTAGTTTCAATCGACTCATGATCTCAACTATTGAAATTACTAAAATCTCCACAAAACCCCTCCCGATTACTAAACTATTAGTCAGTTTTCCTAAGGATAAAAAATATGTAAGTCCTATATTCCGTCTATTATTAGTCATTAATTATTACATAATTCATTTTGTCCATTTTTATTTTTGTAATTTTGTTGTTGTTGAAAATGTCATAGTAACAATTTTTTTTTGGTATTATTGATTATTTAAGATAACAGATAATAATGATGTTCATGATGAAAATTCCAATGCAAATAACATTAATTTAAAGCAAAATAAATATCAATTTTATGAACAGATTCATGATAATCAATATGAACGGAATGTAACTATTTATCAGTAAGTCATTTATGTTATATTTTTTTAAAAATCAATTATTGATGAAATAGTTCAATTGTAAAGATCTAGATATTCATAGACAATAGTGTTGTTTTTGAATGAGATCATGAATTGATTGATGTTGGACCAGCATTGAAAACCTGGAAGCACTGGATGGGTGTGTCATCCTATTGTGGGACTCTTTAGTAGTGCGAATCTACGATCTCGTCTCGCGGGATTCGAACTCAGGGCCTTCAGTCTGGCGCATGAACGCTCAACCTCTAGAGCACTGAGTCGGCATCTAACGGTGGTAGTGTTTAACCTCAAGCAATCCACAAATTTGCGCGACCATTTTCCATTGTACTGAGATAGATACCTGTTTCTACTCGACACGGAACTAATCCGTGTGGGGTATACTGATAATAATCTTTTTTTCTGACTGTAATCATTATAATTTACATTATTGCATATTCAAATCGATGGTAAATTCATTGAAAGATTCAGATAAAACGATTGAATCTCAAGTAAAATCCTGGAAAAAAAACTAAAATAAATAATTTACCACTAGAAAATTACTATTATTACTGATTACGTATGTAATGTACATTACAAAATTCATTGATTAAATATCTGAAGGTATTCATAGACATCAAGATAAAATCAATAATGCCAGGATTTTGTGTAATAGTTAAAATAAACATTTTCAAAAATTCTCACAGGATATTCAAGAAGAGAATAAGCTAGAGATAAAGATTTTTTTGACAACTTCATTTAACTCCACACAAAGATTGGAGAGTAGCTAGCTGTGGAACATTAATTCTGAGATGCAAGTACATCCAGCTGACGAGTCCAAAATAGGATGAAACGTCATCTATTCGATTTTAAGACACCATCCAACTCTGTTTATAATTATTGTGAATTAATTGAATATCGAGATAGTGGGCATAGGATGCAAATATGCCGCTAAGAGACTGATCATTTACTGTCCTAAACATCAAGATGAAGATTCAAATCAATTCAAACTCTACACAGTTATAAATCTAAAATTATTATTGTTTTGTTATAATCGATAAAATTGAAAATGACAAATTTCATGTCGATTACGTCTGGGAATCAGAAGGTCTTCATTTAGAAGAATTATGACGCCTCATGATGAAAGCCGAATTCCTTCGGAAGTTACGAGGCCGATGCCCCTTCTGACAACCAGAGCAACCATTTATTTAGGTACATGGAATGTTCGTACAATGTGGGACACCGGGAGAGCCTTCCAAATTGCTGCAGAAATGAGAAGATACAACCTAGAGGTACTTGGGATCAGTGAAACACATTGGACACAAGTTGGACAACAACGACTAACTACAGGAGAGCTCCTGTTATACTCCGGCCATGAAGAAGAAAATGCACCACATACACAAGGAGTTGCATTGATGCTGTCCAAACAAGCACAAAATGCGCTTATAGGATGGGAATCTCATGGACCAAGGATCATCAAAGCCTCGTTCAAAACAAAGAAAGAGGGTATTTCAATGAACATCATCCAATGCTATGCGCCTACCAACGACTACAATGAAGACGCTAAAGATCAATTCTACAATAGGCTGCAGTCAATCGTCGAGAAGTGCCCAACAAAGGACCTGACCATTCTGATGGGAGATTTCAACGCCAAGGTTGGAACGGACAACACTGGATATGAAGACATCATGGGACGACACGGACTGGGAGAAAGAAACGAAAACGGTGAGAGATTTGCAAATCTATGTGCCTTCAATAAGCTGGTCATAGGCGGCACCTTATTCCCACATAAACGCATACACAAAACCACATGGACTTCACCGGATCACTCTACACAAAACCAAATCGACCATATTTGCATCAACAAAACGTTCAGGAGGACTATAGAGGACGTGAGAACCAAGAGAGGAGCTGATATAGCATCAGATCATCACTTACTGGTCGCCAAGATGAAATTGAAACTCAAGAAGCACTGGACAACGGGGCAGACAGTATCACAAAAGTTCAATACGGCCTTTCTCCAGGATACTAACAAACTCAACAAATTCAAGATAGACCTCAGCAACAAGTTCCAGGCCTTTCATGATCTACTCAATGGAGAAGGAACTACTGTGGAGAGCAACTGGAAGGGGATCAAAGAGGCAATCACTTCAACATGTCATGAGGTCCTGGGTCACAAGAAGCACCACCACAAGGAATGGATCACTGTTGATACACTGGATAAGATTCAAGAAAGAAGAAACAAGAAGGCAGCGATCAATACCAGCTGAACAAGAGCAGAAAAACCAAGGCACAAACTGAATACACGGAAATAAACAAACAAGTGAAGAGGAGCATCAGAACCGACAAACGTAAATATGTGGAAGATTTAGCAACGACGGCGGAAAAGGCTTCAAGAGAAGGAAACATGAGACAATTGTATGACACGACAAAGAAACTCTCTGGAAATCGCCGCAAACCAGAAAGACCAGTGAAAAGCAAGGAAGGCGAGGTAATCACCAACATTGAAGAGCAACAAAACAGGTGGGTAGAACACTTCAAAGAACTGTTGAATCGACCAGCTCCACTGAACCCACCCAACATCGAAGCAGCACCCACGGACCTCCCAATCAATGTTGGCCCACCAACAATTGAAGAAATCAGCATGGCCATCAGACAAATCAAGAGTGGCAAAGCAGCAGGACCAGACAACATTCCAGCGGAGGCACTAAAAGCAGACGTAGCGGCAACTGCACGGATACTCCACATTCTCTTCAATAAGATTTGGGATGAGGAACAAGTACCAACAGACTGGAAAGAAGGACTACTGATCAAAATACCGAAGAAAGGCTATCTCAGCAAGTGTGATAACTACAGGGGCATCACTCTTCTCTCAATACCGGGAAAAGTCTTCAACAGGGTATTGTTAAACAGAATGAAGGACTGCGTAGACGCCCAACTTCGTGACCAACAGGCAGGATTCCGTAAGGATAGATCGTGTACAGACCAAATCGCAACTCTACGGATCATTGTGGAACAATCAATTGAATGGAATTCATCACTCTACATCAACTTCATTGACTACGAGAAGGCATTTGATAGCGTGGACAGAACAACACTATGGAAACTTCTTCGACACTACGGCGTGCCTCAGAAGATAGTCAATATCATACAGAACTCATATGATGGATTACACTGCAAAATCGTGCATGGAGGACAGTTGACAAAGTCGTTCAAAGTGAAGACCGGTGTTAGGCAAGGTTGCTTACTCTCACCCTTTCTCTTTCTCCTGGTGATCGACTGGATCATGAAGACGTCAACGTCTGAAGGAAAGCGCGGGATACAATGGACATCTAAGATGCAGTTGGATGATCTAGACTTCGCAGACGATCTGGCCCTTCTATCCCAAACGCAACAACAGATGCAGGAGAAGACAAACAGTGTGGCAGCAGCCTCAGCAGCAATAGGTCTCAATATACACAAAGGGAAAAGCAGGATTCTCCGATACAACACAGAATGCACCAATCCAATCACAATTGACGGAGAAGATTTGGAAGATGTAAAAACCTTTACATATTTGGGCAGCATCATTGATGAACAGGGTGGATCTGATGCAGATGTGAAGGCGCGGATCGGCAAAGCAAGAGCAGCATATTTACAACTGAAGAACATCTGGAGCTCAAAGCAACTGTCAACCAACACCAAGGTCAGGATTTTCAATACAAATGTCAAGACAGTTCTACTGTATGGGGCAGAAACCTGGAGAACTACAAAAGCCATCATCCAGAAAATACAGGTGTTTATTAACAGTTGTCTACGCAAAATACTTCAGATCCATTGGCCGGACACTATTAGCAACAACCTACTATGGGAGAGAACAAACCAGATCCAAGTGGAGGAAGAAATCAGGAAGAAGTGCTGGAAGTGGATAGGACACACATTGAGGAAAGCACCGAACTGCGTCACAAGACAAGCCCTCACATGGAATCCTGAAGGTCAAAGGAAAAGCAGAAGACCAAAGAACACATTACGCCGAGAAATGGAGATAGACATGAGAAAAATGAACAAGAATTGGATGGAACTAGAAAAGAAGGCCCAGGACAGAGTGGGTTGGAGAATGCTGGTCAGCGGCCTATGCTCCATTGGGAGTAACAGGCGTAAGTAAGTAAGTAAGTACGTCTTAAACATTTACAGAATAACTTGATTGTCAATGTTAAATAAAGATTACATATATAAGGGCAGGAAAAATCATATCCCTTAAAGGGCTTAGTTCTAATTAATATTGTTGAAATTGTATATAGTATGTTAGTCAGTGAACAACAACTTAGAAATTCATACTTACGGACATCAGTTCAAGTTGCCATACCACAGTACCGCAGCGATAAAATTATCCATTCAAATACCATAATGGTAGAGATAGTTAAAGTATAGGCAGTAATCGGAAAGAGTAGGGTTTGAAGATGTCATTCGAGGCGTATAATCCAGCGAAATAAATTTGGAAAGTGAAAAAAGGGACATAAAGAATTCAAAAGATTAGAATTTGGGAGAACACAAAGAGTCGATTCACCTGCATCTAGTTACAATAAGAATATATGTCTAATACTGTTCTTTTTGAATAGCTCTCACAAGCTGCCGATAAATTAATCTTCACTAGGATATTACAGGATTAGTATAGGATGAAAAACTATTAACAACACTAATGAGTTGGATTAAAAACTATTCAGCATTACACATCCATGACTTTATATAAAGCCTATTAAAGATCATCAAATCTTGCTCAAGATAAAGTACATTGCAATCATTATATGGTAATTTATTATTTGAAATGTTTATCACTACCGAATATAAATATGTTCACTTTCCAAACAATTATCACTTCGAAAAGAGCAAGAACAAACATTCTAGCAGGATAGCATGAATTCATTTTATTTCGTAGGTTCTCGTCAGCTGCTTACAACTTGTGATATTTAAAAATCATGTTACCGCCAACTGTATTTATAAATTTACGTATACCTGCCAAAGCGGCTACATCGGCCGAACTGACAGGAGAGCATATCTTCGATTTTTTGAACATGTTCCAAAAAGTCTTAGAACAAGGGAAAGAAAGATTCTAAATAGTGAAATCACCAAACATCTCCTTGATACAGGACATCAGATAGACACCTTACAATCCTTTAGGGTGATTAGTAAGCAGCCAACTCCAGTCTTCTGATGTTTGCTGAAGCCGTTGCCATCAGGCGTCAAAAACCTGACCTATGTATTCAAAAGGAGGCGGTGGTTATTCTTTCCTTTCCCTGGTGACAAATATTCCTTTACTGCACCTTAAAAATCTTTTTCTTTTGTATCTATTACATCATTTATTTTATTTTATTTTTTCAACTATCTTTCAACTGAACTCTACTCACTATATTCCTATCAATGTTTATTCATTATGTAATCAATTGTTGCTAACCAACTTTTGAACTGTTGTCATAATCAATGTTGTAGAATATTCTTTCATATATGGTATATATATTTACAATACTCAGTCTATTCAATTTATTTACACCCTTGTTATACTATACGAATATGTCTTCAATATAACTTCCAACCAAACCTTTTCATGTAAGTAATGGAAACCCATTATGTAATTATGATTTTTAAATATCACAGGTTGTAAACAGCTGACGAGAATGCTATTCTGTTAGAGTGTTTGTTCTTGCTCTTTTCAAAATGATAAAGGGAACTATGTGTATGAAATTATTGCTTCATAGTATCTTTACACCTAAAATGAACTGTGACTACTTAATCTCATTATAAGTACTATAACTATTATCTAACAAATTTTAAATGTTAGAATCGAATAATTTCCTACTGAACATTGATATCGATTTATTAATTATTCCCTTTTAAATGCTTGTCTTTTTTTGTTCAATTGTTTCTCAATAGTGATACTCCTCCGAATGTTCCAAACCTACTTGGAAGTTATTCACCTCAATCACTTGTAGATCGGGCAAGTTATTTCAATTGTTTTCTCTTCATATAGTCATTAAGTGTATAAGGTTGTTGTTTTTTTTAAATTGAACAATTAGAAGAAAATATTTTGATCAGAACTAATCATTGTTGAATCTTTTTTGTTGTTTAAGTAAAGCATAGTAAGTCAATTATTGTTTAAGCAAACAATTAACCATATACACTGATAAGTAGTATGTTAACGAAACTTTTACAGTTTACAGAATATATTTACCCATTCCGGATAACCATGATTATTATATTCGATAAGTTAGGTGACTAGTAACACTCCAAATATATATTGACCATTTTGAAAATTCACTGATGTTTGCCGTTTGATTATTGACAAATGTCATAATTATATAACCCTTCAGTGACGATTAGATTCTGTCGATTTAGTCTTAGTTGATCATGATGACGTGCTCTTTTTTATATCAGTGCAGCGCTAAATAAACATGACAGTGACCAATACTACTTGATCAACAAACGGTAGGTCAGTATTATCCTGATTAGCTCGGTGGTATCAACTCAGACTATGAAACTGAATGAAGCCTGTCCGATTACCACGGGGAGAATCATTCCCCCGTTGAGTGTCAGCTAGTATGAAACTTAAGTCTAGGATTTCTGGTCAATGGCTCCAAACCGCTTAATCCTAAGTAATAATGTTTGAGGCAACGACAGTTAAATTTCTTTGTTAAAATAATAGTAAAAACAAATGACTGGTTCGTGTATTTTACTGATGGAACGATTGACTTTCTACAACGTACATCTTGTCAGTATGGGAATTTGTGGAGATTATAGTATATTTTAAAGTCGGATTTATGAGCCGACTAAGTGGTCTAGAGGTTAAGCGTCCACACGCGAGACCGAAAGTTCTAAGTCCGAGTCCTGCGTGTGAATTCGTGGATTCGTACTTTTGAGGAGTCCCGTATTAGGGCGGAACGGCCGTCAATGTCTTCCAGGCTTTCATTGGTGATGTAGCTGAGATCGCCTAGTGAATCCAAGTTTTTAGTGCATCTTTACATTTAGTTATCTAATAACTTAAAATAAGAATAAGACGACTACTCATTGAATAAAGAGTGGTCAGAGAGGTAGCTTGTTGATTACTAGACTCATCTTTCACACGTTCTAAACCTATGTTACCTTTTTCAGTTTTAATAACTAATGATAAGTATCAGTAGTTTCAATACATGTTGTTGCTATGTTCGAGAAATTAAGATGTCACCTTGAACCAGAGAACGAAACGAAAATCAACAATGCAACAACAGAACAAGCTAAACTGTTGCTCCGCACCCCAGATCTACTAACTAGAAGAAGATCAGATTTAGCCGGATAAATATAAAACTCCACAAACAGCCCGGAAAAACGAATAACAAGCATAAAACTCATGCGTAATATATACAATACAAAAATGTATTTGAAAAGTATTATCAAATAGCGTACCAAAAGAGAAAATTAACCAATAACGTTGAAGGTCCTTCCATATGAGAAACTCAAACTTTTCACAATTAAATTACAAAAATAAGAAGTTTATCAAATGATTTCTGAGGATCTAGTATTCTAAACAGTTGTGTATCTCAAAATTAAGCAATTGTACATTGTAATACATGAATTAATTAGTACGTCTAGTCAAACATATAGAACATTGGCTACGCACTTGATTATATGATGAGCGTTTTGTAAGTAAGATACTAATTTTGACAGAGATTAATAGTTCAACTGGATGCTTCTTAGTATCAATGAGTTTTTTTGAGGTAGATGATTTTACTTGAAAGCATTTATAAACATTATGAAAACATTATTATTATCATTCTGGACAATGTCATCAGAGTTCTGCAATCAAATCAATCTGAATTTAGATAACGATGACAACAACATGAAGAGTTTTGATAAGCTCAAAACTAAACGGAAACAACTATCCACTGCTACATTGTTTCTAAGTTAACTCTTTAAGTTACACCGGGTATGTAATAGTGAGGTTAGACGCAGGGTATTAGGAAATGATGATAAATCAGTTGATAAGGTTGTGAATCTTCATCGACTGAGATGGTTGGGCCATGTATTACATATGCCTGAACATCGATTATCACGACGACTAATACTGACTAGTGTTGGGGGTGGTTGGAAGACAGTTAGGTGCGGACAAACCAAAACGTAGCATCAGTCATTGAAGTCACTAACTTCTAGTCTTAGCCATGTTAGCAGATGCAGACTATTTGGTTGGCGTCCGCATGACTATGGTAACCAATGGTTGGAGATTGTGGGTGACATGGCTCAGAATCGATCACAATGATGTAGGTGTATACACTCTCTATCTTCCCTCAAACTATGAGACGTAAATCACTTCATATCTTTTTTTCTACCAACTAATTCTTTCTCCCTCTGTTATATCCTTATATTCGATCTTTCTTTTATATATTACCACCATTGAATTAACTACTTCTATGAATCCGGTGTTGATCTTGTTGTGTTAATGCGGTATGGCAACTTAGACTGATGCGTATTTATGTGCCTGGTCCTACGTTGTAACTGACTGACTGACTGACTGACTGATTTTGTCTTAGAAGATATTCGTGTTCTTCAACATTTGTATTTTCAATTTATCTCATTTATTATTATTGTTAATGAACACATTCTAACTTTTATTATTTTTCTTTCTATTATTTTAAACTAGAATGAATATGTGAATATCCCACAGTCAAAATTAAATAATGATCAATTATCCTTGACAACAAATGCATTTCCTACTTATATGATACTTCCATCATCCGTTTCATCATTAAATGATTATTTAATATCCATTCCTAATTCATTATCATCAACTATATTGAATAAAACCGATATTAGTATTATAAATAATGTTAATAATGATGATTTATTAATGGATACATCATTTTTATCAACAGTACCTGAAGAAGATTTGGATATAGGTGATATAACTAGTTCGAATAAAACAACACCACAACAAAGTCCTTGTAAAAAACTTTATTCAATGAGACAAATCAATAATAATTTGTTAGAATCAATTCAGAATAATAATAATAATAATAGTAATTCTGAAGATCTTCATGATATTGTCCATCATAGTTCACCAAAGTCTTTATCACCAGTCACTATGTAAGTTGTGTATGTTTACAGATTTTTAGAAATATATCGATATGTTTGTGCTACATATCGATAATGAATACATTACTGAATGCTATAATGTTCGATTATACTAAAAAGATCGTGGTAGATCCTCGTCTTTTTATCCAGTTAACATGTGAACATTCAGAAAGTACTCATAGAAAAACGTTTTGTTTCGAGTAGCAACAGACTGTCATTTATCTTTACCTATGAACAGTTTAAATTATATTTTTTTATAAGATACATTTACTTATTGCGTAACATTAAGTCAATTGGCAGACAGTCCTAAAGTCCAAGAGTTATCTAAAAAACTGTCCTATTATGACAAAATATAAGTAAATTGATTGTAAACCTCAAATGCTGAAATATTTATGCTGGCTAACACGTTTATATTCGTAGAAGAGAAAAACATGTCTCAAATAATTACAGGAAAAGTAATTACAATACACAATATCGCAAATAACGACTGGTAAGTTACTGCAGATCGTCAACTAACAAACGGCTACTAAGAGCCCAAAAATGTGGACCTATTGCAAGTGGAAAACAGGCTTCAAAAGTACACAAAACCTGTTTAGAGAATATAATTATAACAATAAACAAAGTGAATGTCATTATGAAAATAAATAAGAATGTTACAGGACATCAACTATACACCGTGTTCAAAAGTTATTAAAAACGAAACGTGTTACTGAATTTATATACAAGTAGTATAAGTTAATACGCAAAAATAGTTGGACTCTAAGAAAGAGCGTCAACGGACTTAACATTATATTTGATTCATGAATTATTTTATCGTTTTATCAAAGTAAATACTCAGAGAGTAATCTGCCAACGAACTTGAATGTTACAGTAATTAGGTTTGTATTTGAGTAATCAGGTTGTATTAAAACCAGTAAATACATTAAATCGTCAAATTACATCACGAGACAAGCCCTAAGTTGGAATCCGGAAGGGGAAGCGGAAAAGAGGAAGGCCAAGGAACACATTACGTCGGGAAATCGAAGCAGATATGAAAAGGATCAATAGGAACTGGAAGGAGCTGGAAAAGATTGCCCAGGACAGGGTTGGATGGAGAATGCTGGTGAGCGGTCTATGCTCCTTCACGAGGAGTAACAGGCGTAAGTAAGTAAATAAATACATTGGGTCGTTAACTAGATTCAATAATGTATGTACTTTTATTATTTCGGCTATATCTTCACTGAGATTTTAAAATTTATGATTCTTTTTTGAAAAAAAATTCATTTTTACAGATTACACACTGCACAATCACTTCATAATAAAGAAACTGAATTGTACAGTAATTCATCTAGTCAAATATGCTCTGATGAAAATGTTGAATTACAATCATTATCACCATCATCATCGTCATCACCACCACCAGTGTTATCAAAATTGCCTCAAAATTCTCCATCTCAGTCACAAGAAATTTCAGATAGTTATTGTGCTCGTCCTAATAGAAAACAAAAACGTTATCGAAATTCCAGAGCACCAGCACCCCCTACACCAACAACAATAAGCACAACTGTAACAAATTCACCTTCTACTATATCAATACCTCTTAGTACGTCAATGAATCAATCAGTGATAGAACCACCACCTCCACCTCGTCGATCAATCCAAAAGAATCCTGATACACCACATACTAGTGATTCAGATACAGACGACAAAGATTATAAGAATTTAATGAAATCTCGACAAATTCACCAAGTTTCAGATAAATCACCATCAAGTCTGTAAGTGTTAATAACTAAACAAAACGATACTATTTGTGTTCTGTAGAAGAGAGAACAACCAATTATCTAGTTTCTTATAGTAATAATGTTATTATTGAACCTATACTTTGAATATCTGCTATCTGGTACAACTTGATTCAAAGAGTTCGGCCAGTATTATAATGACAGATATCATGACAATGTTGAGTTAATGTACACAAGAAGTATGAAATTAAGATTATTTTCGACACATATTGATTTGAGTCGTAGATAAGTCGAAAGCTATGGTATAATGAACTGCTGTGTCATTGTAGTATGGTACTCATAACTGCACTAGGAACCGAACTCGAAGGACTTTGCATTTGTGAGAAGTGCGTTATATTTAAATGAATAAGTTGAGATCTGATGGTCAACATATTCAATCTTGATCGATCCGTGAAGTGACGATGATGATCGTATAATCCATGTCAGGTTTACTCATCTCATTCATAACACTGCTTGAGTTAATAATTCGGTGTAGGTGTATGATTGTCAGTTATTCTTTCACAACCCCACAAAATGTATTTTCAGTCTACAATACATACATTTGGCACTGATTTATTAATTGGATTATATATTTATATATTGCTTACTTATTTACGCCTGTTAATCTCAAAGGAGCATAGACCGCCAAACAGCATTTCTTTTCTACTTCTATCCAATTGGCGTTCATTTTTCTCATATCTGTCTCCATTTCTCGGCGTAATGTGTTCTTTAATCTTACTCTTTTCCTTTGGCCTTGAAAATTCCATGTGAGGGCTTGGCTTGTGACGTAGTTGGATGCTTTCCTCAGTGTGTGTTCTATATACTTCTAGCACTTTTTCCTGATGTCTTCCTCTGCTGAGATATGGTTTGTTCTCTTCCATAGAAGGTTGTTGCTGATAGTATCTGGCCAACGGACCCGAAGTATTTTGTGTGGACAACTATTAATAAACCTTTGTATGTTCTGGTGGATGGCTTTCTTCGTTCTCTAGGTTTCCACCCCATACAGTAGAATTGTCTTGACATTTGTAGTGAAAATGATGACCTTGGTTTTTGTTAACAGACAGTTGTTTTGAGTTGCAGATATTCTCCAGTTGTAAATATGATGTTCTTACTTTGCCGATCTACGCATTTATATCTGAATCACATCCACTATGCAGATTCCAGGCTAATGAGGTATTTTTCCTTCTAAATTCATGTTTTCTTTTTTGGATGACGTTGTCCCTTGAAATTCCGATAACTGTTTCTTACGTAAAGAGATTTTAAATAAATTTATGATGTCGTTCTAGTTATTAAAAATAACATTTTAGATCAACTTCTCTCATGAAAACTAATCATCACTTCCATCACCTCCACAAGAGGCTAATTAACGACAAAACTTTGACAGATGCAAACAAAGTTTATATAAATCATATAAAATTCTTGTATGAAAATTATAATGAGATCCGGTTTCGAGTTTGTTCACCTGCAATGTAAGTTGTTAAACGGAGCATTTCTTACTTATATTATAATTAGTAGTATTGTGATGAATAATGAAATTTGTAGATCATTTTAGATGAGTCGTTGAGAGAACAGTGAAAATTTCAATTTGGCTTTTCAAACAACATCATCAACACATAATATTCAATAGAAGTTATTGTAGAAAGACCATTTAAACTTTAACATTCAACAAATTATCTCAGTGAAGACAGCTTCATTGAAAACCGCATTGCACAAGCAATTGGCTATCAGAACTCATTAGCTAAGTAGATAATATGATGGTGCTTGAAGTGAACAGTACTAGATTCAAGTCCCAGAGTGAACATCAACTCTGAAATGCAGGTACATTCAACTGACTAGTCCTGAATAGGATGAAACGTTCATCCTGAATTCCACTACTAACCACTATCCATCAATAACAGTTATAAATTATATAAGATTATAAACCTTTTTAAATTAAATAATAAATAAATGGAATTGCACATTATTTTATTTTAGTAATTCCATGAATAAAGAAGAAGAAGAAGAACAATTAAAAGATGATAATTCAAATTGTGCTTCTAGATTAAATCATCCATGTCAACATACAAGACCACAGCATACAATCATAAATAATGATAAATTACATCCAAATCATTTGAATCAATTAATTACATCCATAGAAACAACCATAGCTACTATGAATTTTGAACAGAATCCAAATATCAATTGTATATGCTCATTATGTAATGATATCAAACAGAATAATCAATTCAATCGATCAGATTTGAATAAATCAATCATACGTAAACCAACTCCACCGAAACGATCACCTAAAACTATTTTAACCAGGTAAAACTTCAATAAAAACATTGTATTTATGGTTTACTATTTCATAATGTATTATAATGAACAACAACACAAGTGAAGATAATCGAATGTATTTGAATAGTGAAACATGAAATCTGAGAACTATACAGTAAATAGTTTATGTGTAAAATACCAATCCATCGTCTCAAACTTGACTATTCCTCATGAAGATCTCAGATCATCGTCTCAAATTTCACTGTTCGAGTGTTTTCATACTAATTACTTTCTGTTCCCGTTGTTTCCTTCTCGATCTTCTATTGAAATACATTCTATACTTGACCATCAATATATTCTACTTATGTGAATATAAGTAGTTCACACCACAGTATTACAGAACATTTTTTCTATTTTTTTTTAATAACGAGTTGAGCTAACGGTATATTAATCCAACTCCGTTTTGTAATGTATTACTGATAGACTGATAGACTTCAAATAAATTGAGAGTATGGACAATGTTTGGAACCAAATGAGTACATATAACTCGACAGAGTTTCATCTGCCATTTATGAACAAAAGCACATAGATCTTCAAATACTGATAATAAATTTGATAGAAATTAGGAGTCAGTTCTACAGAAGATACTTCTATTTTTTTACATGTTGAATTCATAAGTTGATCTAAACTAGATCATCATTGAAAACCTGGAAGCAATGGACGGGTCGTTTCGTCCTAGTTTGAGACTCCTTAGAAGTGCGCAACTACGATCCCTCATGCGAGACTCGAACTCAGAACAGATGGATTCAACTGTTAAAAATACTACAATATCCACAAATCTCATTACTTTTATTTCCCTGAGAAGTATCAACAGGTTAATAGGTGACTTTTGTCATTACTTCTATCAAGTTATATCAACAAAAATACCGAACATATTCAGTACAAAATATGAATAAACAATTAAAATTTAAGTCCATTCGATAGGAGCAATAATTAAGTATAACTTTGGCACTATAATTATCCTCATCGCTTGTTTTACGTCTGAATTAGATTACCAAAATCAATATATGATGCTTAATTCAATATTTTACTGATCTGAAATCATACAAAATTTCAATGGTCATCTATAGTAAACTAGAAATCCTAAATGACTATTTAATCTCTTCTGTTTTTCGACATTCCAATGATTCTCAAAAGTTATAAGAGTATCTAAAGTATAAAATATCAGAAAAACACGGTAGTTAAGGAGATGAAATAAACTTATACGAGCCAGTTTATTTAATTGGTAATGATCGGATTTCTGATGTCGTCTTTCATTAATCCATCTGTGGTAGGAATTCCTAACCCATATCAATGAAACCTTAACACTAAAATGATACATATTTAGAAATAAGCAATTAGTTCACTTGCATTTCAAAATATAACCTTATATAATTGAGAACACGCTTTTTATTCCCTGTACAAAGTTGCTAATTGTCTAGGAGTAATGCATTGGTGTATTGTAATTATTTGAAATTCATGTTGTATATATGATTTTTCATTTGAATTTTATATGAAATAGGGAAGTCATATCAATTCTGTTGATGTGACACATGTCAGCTCCTTCTCAATAAAAGATATTGAATTAAAAACTGATCATATAATCAGTAACATATTCGTTTAATGACGTTATGAATTAGATCTACTAAGCATAAAATGGAGTATAGCATGATTTCCTGCATTCTCTCCACATAAATATACCTGGAATATATTTTCTTTGTCCTTAACTACGTTCGATGTCATAACAGTAGCTAAGGAATTGATTCTTGAAGTCAGTCATTTTGTTGGATAATAATGGATGAAAAATGTTTTTGGTATTTATTAAAATGTAAAAACCATTGACAGGATAATGGTATACTATGGGGTCCTGAAAATTTGGTTTAACGTCAAAAGCTACTGAATATTTATAAGTAGTAAGAAAAAAAACACACAAAAATGGAAGGTGTGTATAGAATGAAGATTAGATAGTCCAAGTGAGATTTAGTAATTTATTTGTTTCGTTTCTATTATTTGTATTCTCTCATTATAAAGTTATCACTACTACAATACAAATCATGATACTTTTTACATGAATTCTTCTTTAAAAGCCTTAATACATCTCCTAAATCAGAACAACGTGAAAATCATAAAGTCCCAATGAATTCAGTTCAAAGTTCTAATCAGTTAGCAAATATTATGGATCCTACAAACTGTGAATCCAGAGTAATCTGTGACCATAAAATTGATGACGACTGTAACAATGAAGATTCCAAGGAACAAACACACCCTACTATGACTACTACCAGAAATGGTAGTCATAGTAGTCATGAAGGAAGTGAACATAATGAGGAGAAGCAATATCCTATGTATGATAACAATAATAATAGTAATAATAAAAAACAATCCGATTTAATTATACCAGATAACATTGGTCAAGATAATGAGGTGATCAAGTGTTGTGTATGCAATTCATTGCATGAAATAGATGCTGAAGCTGAAATTCTTCATATGACTGAATTATTATCGAAACGTCGTGAATCTGAAGCTAGACGTCAATTATTATTAGCTGAGATGGAGGCTGGAATAGAACGAGATGATCGTTTAAGAGTCGCTGCAAATGCTATGGCATTGGCGGTGTCGCCAATGACAAGTGATATTACATGTAATATGGATAAATCGGAATTATGTAATGTATCAAATTGTATACACTATAATTATTGTTTACGTCATCATCATCATCATGATCATCAACAACAAATTCATTCTAATAATGTTTGCAATGTACAACAACATATTGCACTAAATCCACCACATTTACATTCTATAGATCACAGAAATATAGATAATGAATTGATACCGCCGATAACATGTTGTTGTACATCGGATTGTATCAGAGAAGAAGATATATTGATTACATTACGGAAATGTAAGTCATATGGAAATCAAGATATTTATATTGAGTTTTTTCCGGCTTGATATGTGGCTGTTGGCATTTATTAGAGTTGAATAGTATTTAACGGAATAACTCAGATTTTATTTTAATGCACAGGATAGTTTTCCTCCTACAAGGACTCATTGAGAGATGTTTTATTCGATGATTGCGAAAACTTACCCCTCAAAGCTTAGTATATTCGATAACTCTCTGTATTCGGTCATAGTTGTCTCCCAAGGATTTTTGACTCCTAATGTCAATACTATTTTAGTAATACGGAGGCTCGAAAATATTTTTTTCGAGCTCAATGGTGATAACTCGGTCAATGTCACTATACAAAAACATGGGTCATCCCAAAGGCTTTCAAATTATGCATCAATTGTCGATACTAAAATGAGGTTGGAAGAAGGGAGAATTAGTAAGTTTATGAATATAGTGCTGCTTTACGAAAACATGCTGCATAGAACTGGTATCTATTGGTTCATAACGACCACTTGGGTAACATCCGAGAGATGAATACAACTTTATGACTTTGCTCATTATCATACATATCTCAGAAAGGGAATCTGTAGTGTCGGTTATTACGTTAAGCCCATATACCTTATTCTAGCTTCCAGACAGCCCATTCTATTCAATCTCCTTAAGTCACATTCTGACGTTGTTATTTATTCAATCTTTACTGTTTTTATATGAGCGCGTAGGTGTGTGTACATTTCTTATCCCATTACTCATCACATGTTTGTAACTTACTTTTGTGTAACTATAAATATTGATTAAAACTTGGTTATATGGGAGTTGGTTTACCTGCCATCTCCACTGCTCGTCGTTTTGCTTTGTTCTATTCCATTCACCTCATATACAAAATATATGTATTCACAAGTCCATTCTCGTTATTTGACTTTTTTAATTCCGTTATTGACTAACGCGATTTAAGTCGACGAATATATACGAGAATAGGCGACATATATAATTCAACAACAATCATCATTATGATCACCTTGGTGTCAGATCCACGGGTCACTAAAGTGGAGAGCCCTTTCGACAACATCTTCCGATCTAAATGACGACAAAATTAAGGGTCCCACAAAAAATCAATAACAGCTTTCCAGTAATTTCTTCTTACATTCCTTATAAAAGTTAATAGAACTCTTTTAACTAGTTTAAACATTTGTCTTAGATAACTGACTTGTATTTCATATCACATACTATTCCTATTTCTTTCTTTGTTTGCTTTTTTAAAAATTGTAATCTCATTCCTATCGCTTATTTCTTTATCAATGTAATCTCTTGATTGGATATTGCTCATCGATGGGTATGAGGTTATGGTGTCAGTATATGAATTAAAACAAGGATTTATTGACGTTCTGTAATCGACAATCTACCTGTAGAATCTAAATTAAGCTTTGAACTGAAGAATAAATGTCTAGATAGTTTAGATACTCGCTATTGTCTAGTTGAAACCAAAACAAGGTGATTGGGTAAATAAACAGTTCATTATAAATATAAATATAAATTATTACTTAAACAAATATTACCACATCGTTGTTCAACCAATATATGTTCGACTAATCAAATCAAGCGCAACAAATAAATGTAATTCTATCCTTTCTGGATAGATCATGTACAGGTTCGTTCGAAAGATAATGACATAGAGTGTTTCTAATTCTGGAAGAGTACTTCAATTCAGAATCAAAAAATGGACAATTCTAATCAATGTATGCAATACAATCAATGAAGGAACAAATCAATATCGTTACCACCAAGACTTAAGTATCAACTAAAACAACATTAATACAGTTCAAGAAGAAACATAGAAACTCAGTGAAGGCGTAAGAAAAATAAAAATTATAATAAAATACAAATATGACAATCTCAAATGGAATCAAAAAGACTAACAACATGTACAACTGAAGGAATCAATAGGAACAAATTACAAGCGTATACATGGAGGGATTTTGACATACACACACAAAACCTTCAAAATGGATCTTACACTACCATTATTGTTTTTTTCCAGACTTAAATCAATCCAAATTCGCAAGTAAATTTAGGTTATTTTATACAAAAGCTTGGAAGAAACACTCATGGATAGCGCTATTTATTTCAGTTTAATCAGGACTTGTTGCTTCAGGACTGACCTGCATCAATACCTGAACTAAGGATAGAGAGTGAAGTAGTCGAACGCGTTGGCAACTTCACTTATCCTAAAAGTCTGATCAGCCATAATGGGTTGGTGTCTGACGAAATCTCTGCACGGATTCAAAAGGCTCGTTTGGCTTTTGCCAACTTACGTCACCTATGACGAACACGAGACATCCGTCTATCAATAAAAGGACGAGTATACTGCGCGGCTGTCCGTTCTGTTTTAGTTTACGGCAGCGAAACATGGCCTTTAAGAGTAGAAGACACTGGTAAGCTATTAGTATTTGACCACAGATGCCTTAGAAATATTGCTGGCGTCTGCTGGGATCACCGGGTAAGTAATAGTGAGGTTCGACGCAGGGTATTAGGAAATGATGGTAAATCAGTTGATGAGGTTGTCAATCTTCATCGGCTAAGATGGATGGGCCACGTGTTACGTATGCCTGAACACTGATTACCACGACGTGCAATGCTAACTGGTGTTAGAGATTGTTGGAAGAAGGTTAGGGGCGGCCGAACCAAAACGTGGCATCAGTGCTTGAAGTCACTAACTTCTAGTCTGAGCCATGTTAGCAGGTGCAGACTACTTGGTTGGCGTCCACATGACTATCGTAACCAATGGTTGGAGACTGTGTGTGACATGGCTCAGAATCGATCACAATGATGTAGGTGTATACACTCTCTGTCTTCCCTTAAACTATGAGATTAAAATCACTTCATATCTTCTTTTCTACGAACTAATTCTTTCTTCCTGTACCATATCCTTATTGCAATCTTTCTTTTATATATTACCACCTCTGAATTAACTACTTTTATGAATTCGGTGTTCATCTTGTTGTGTTAATGAAGTATGGCAGCTTGAACCAATGTATATATATGCCTAGTCCTATGTTGTAGCTGACTGACTCAGTTTAATCAGTACCCAGTCTTTTATAACAGTTTTATCTTAATATATGAAAATACAGATGAAAAAACCGATACTAGATGATACAAACACGCTTTACTGATGAATGACAACTAGAAACAAATCTAAGTAACAATCCTCTTATGAATTTTCCTCTATTAGTTAACGCTTAAATAAGCGTCTCGAATTTGTATAATCACACTTCATTATTTTTAGTTCAGTAATTTTATAGATTCTACCACAGATCGACCTCATTTAAACAACCGTGGGGAACTATAAAGTAGGGAACATCTGTTTCTTTATAGTATTGTTGGGGACGATAGATCCCCAAAACTCATATTTTGTAATTTCATCTTATCGATTAACTCATCGATTAAATGTTTAAATATTTGAATGTATGTCAATTGACGAACTTATCGATTAAATATTTGAATGGATGTCGATTGATGAACTTATTGATTAATGTTTAAAAACATTTACCCATGACAATATCGATTATAAATATTTGTATAAATACGCTTAATTTGTGTGCCTGATTTACCTGACCTGACCTGACCTGGTATCTGCTGGTTGCCTGTAGAATACACTTGAACGTCTTACCAAGACTTCTTGATCAAGTTAGCTGAGTCGGAAACAACGGACCAGAATAGCCTATTGAATCTCTGAATCCTGATCCTTCGTTCTGTTCCAAATAAGCCAAATCAATAGTAGCATTCAGTTTTAACGAACCTAACAAGTATGAAACTCTGTAACAATGTACATTCACTATTGTAACAAAAGGGGATCACACCCAGGATCAACGGGGAAATGCTTAAACTTTGACCAGTCACCCAATTGTATTTCTAACTCCAGTCAATTCAGCATAATGAGTAACCATTACTCATTGTCATCAAAAGGTATTTGTCACAAGCTAGATAATGACTGAACTCCATCAATCATGACTACTCATCAAAACTTAAGGAAATTACCATTCGAAATTAGTTACCAACATACGTATAATTCTTATTGATAGAATGAGAATAATGATTTTCAATCATCTCTTTTATATGAATTGTTTTATTGTTCTTCTGTTGTAATTTATTATGTTTACTTCTTTCTCTTTTCTTTACATCATTGATTATTCTTACAATACAGCTTCATGTGGTTTAGGATTTAGTTTAACCACAAAACTTATTCATCCTAAATCAACATTGAATTCATCAATGAATGAATCGTTATTTGCTGTATATGTGAAAAATATTTTACCTGATGGTTCAGCTATAAAAGATGGACAATTACGTGTTGGTGATCGATTGATACAAGTAAATAATTTAATTTAATAATGATGATTTAATTGTTTGATAAAATTAAAATAATAATAAAGATGAATAGTGGTTAGTAGTAGAATCGAAGACGAGTGTCTCTCCGTATTTAAGATTCGTCAGCTGAATCTTAGAATTAACGTTGACTTCAGGACTCGAACCCAACATCGTATTCAATGGGAAGATACAAGTAAATAACACCAAGTAAATTTGAACTTCACAGGTGGCTAAGTGGATAAAACGATTGGGTTTGAAGAGAACGGTACTGGGTTCGAGTCCGCAAGTGAACATCAAGCTGACGAGTACCAAATAGGACGACGTGGAGCGCGTGTCCAGGATTCTATTGCTAGCCACTATCCATCTTTGATTATAAAGCTTATGAATTCAGGTAATACCGAAGTAGTCCGCACAGGATGCACATTTGTCAACATGAGACTTATCAATTGCAGTCTTTAATAACAACAGTCCTTAATAAACAACATCAAACGAACAACAAAGATTGTTTACAAAAATCAGATTGAAAACACTTGAATTAACCTATAAGAATATAATAATATGATTGTTGTTGATAATCCGTTCAGGTTTCCTTAAATTCCATGATTTATAAAGAAACTAAATATCCCTATTGAGATAGTAGAAAGGTGGTGTTTATTGTAAACCAACTTTATAAAGTTAATATACACACTTTTCGAAATTTATGCTGTTACAGTGTAAGAGCAACTTTATCAGATGTTTGATCCACAGAGCCAAAATTATTTGTATTGATAATCATATTGAACAAGAGTTAAAACGTATTCATGATACATTACGTAAGCACGGATATCCATTAAATTTCCCAACGAGCTAAACTGACAGTGAAACTATCGACGATATCAAAAAAAGCCTATATTCTTGAAAATACAATTCGAAATTAATAAAGCTACTGAAATAGTAACCCGACGTATACAAATGCCTTATAATGTACATTCAATCCAACAAGATTTTGTCCTACATTCTTCAGTCAGCCAGTAGTCAATTCACCAAATAAAGATAAATTGTCTTGTTCTTCTGCCTCTAAGTGTATTCACCATTTCTGCTACTCATGCGAAATCCGTTATATTAGGCGTACAACCAGAAAAATACGTCATCGTATTGCTGAATATCACTCCATGTCGTTGAATAACGAAAGTAATCAGAAGCTCTATCTTAGCATATCTAGTCGAAGTCATAGTAATACACATAAAAAAACTAACCTTTGTATATGAAAAAATTTATGCGGTTTTTGAATCTACCTTGGCCTTCTAATATTCACTGCTTTCGGCCTCATAAGAATGTGATTATTCAGGACGACATACTAATGTCAATCCAGTTATCTTGATGACCTGAATGCTCTTTATATATATATATATATATATATGGTTTATCCATAGTAAATACATCTCAATCAGCCCAGTAGTAACGTCTCTGTGTCGCTGGGTGACAAAAATAAAATCTCTCAAAATGCACTAGATTGTACATAAACCTTGCACACGACTGCCAAATATCAAAAAAATAAATTAAGTCCAACTTTTTTTGTTGAACAGCTTCAATCATTACCCTACATCTGAAATTGCATCATCATTCTCTTCCCATTGAAATAAACATTTTTCTACTGAGGTTTTTCTTATGTTATGACTACATTTCATAGATTGCTGTTATAAGTTTTTACATACATATGATAGATTATCTTACTTACTTACGCCTGGTACTCCTAATAGAGCGGAGACCGCTAACCAACATTCTCCAGCTCATTCTGTTCTGGGCCTTCCTTTTCAGTTCTATCCAATTTTTGTTCATTTTTCTCATGTCTGTCTCCGTTTCTCGGCATAATGTGTTCTTTAATCTTACTCTTTTCCTTTGGCCTTGAAATTTCATGTGAGGGCTTGGCTTGTGATGCAGTTGAGTGCTTTCCTCAGTGTATATCCTATCCACTTCCAGCGCTTCTTCTTGATTTTCTCCTCCACTGGAATCTGGTTTGTTCTCTCCGACAACAGGTTGGTGCTGATAGTGTCTGACCAACGGATCCGAAGTATTTTGTGTAGACAACTGTTAATAAACAGTTGTATCTTCTGAATGATGGCTTTCTTCGTTCTCCAGGTTATCACCTCATACAGAAGATCTGTTTTGACATTTCTATTGAAAATTCTGACTTTGATGTTGGTTGACAGACAGGCAGTTGTTTTGAGTTGCAGATATTCTACAATTGTAGATATGCTGCTTTTTGCTTTGCCGATCCGCGATGATAGATTATCAATGAGACAAGAATTCCTTTATCTATTTATATATATCAGATTGAAAATGAGTTTTATGAAGAAAATCACTAAAACCTAATATCACTTCACTGAGATATAATACAATGTAAAAACGAATTATTTCTATTTTAATCTCATTAATACACTTCTGATGAATCTTTAAGTGTCTTTCTGCGTGTGTTAACCATTGTCCAATTTCTCATGGATTTTCAAGTTATGTATTATTATTATTATTATTATCATCTAAATAATAATTATCCATTTACCTTATTTCTATCTAATATAATTACATATATAAGCATATAGTTTACTTGAGTTGTTGCATTCATTAGTCAATTGAAGTTAGACTACCATGGAAAACCTGGAATCATTGGATGGCCGTTTTGTCCGAGTATGGGATCCACCAGTGGTCTAGAGGCTAAGCGTTCGCGTGCGAGACTGATAGGTCCTCGGTTCGAATCTCGAGAGGCGGGATCGTGGATGCGCTGTGCTACTGAAGAGTACCACAATAGGTCAAAACTGCCTTCCAGTGTTTCCAAGTTTTCTATGGTAGTCTAGCTTCAATTGATTCATGAATTTACCTATTAAATTACTACAATCTTTAAAAAATTTCTCTCAAAATATAGCTTACTCTTAGGAATATAATTTATTGTTTTAATGTTTAGTTTTCGAATTTAATTGTGGAACTTTCAAAGTTAGCCTTCCATTTATTCCACAAGTGTTATTTTAATTCGTTTTGATAAGTTTGTACATGACTGTCTTTTTAAGCTTTTGTTATCTTCATTTGTTGTTGTTTTCAGATTGAGTTTATTTGACAGTTAGCCTCCAGAATTACGACTGGTCGATGCTTTGAGTATGAGTTTGAAATATGAGTTTGTTCATTGGAACAACACATATAAGCGAACAATATTGTTTTCAATTAGATCGTCATTAGGCTTTACTCTAATATACATGAATATTTATACGAAAATTTTAAACCAATCAAGGCAATATGAGTCAATAATCACAATGAAATAGAATTAGTCTCTACACCTAAAATAGGTAAAAGTACAAGTTGATAGTAGTAGGAAGACAGGTGAACTGATAATAGTGAGAATAATAAAATACAATAACAAAACTCTTATCAATAGTTAAACGTTGGCAATAGAAGGTCAAACAAACATGGGTAAATAGACTAGGAATAGTCAACACTAATACATTGAAATCATTACGTAATAAGATGTGTGTAAATAATTAGATAGTGAAGAATACAAAGAGGCGGATAATTACAAACCAATAATGGATGTGGAAATAAGCTTAATGATAACACAAATAGAATAAAATAAATAATGATAATAATAAAATTTATAAAAAATAAAAAAAAATTGCTAGTTAAGTTATAACTGGCCATGGAAGGGATAGGGGAGTCACGTATTTCTTCTGTACACATAAATTGGGGTTATATGTACGAATTCCAATGGCTTCAGCTATATATAGGAAACGGGAACGGACTCCGTCGGGAAATGATGGAGGTATACGATAGATAACTCGAAATGATTTCGATTTATCTACTACATGACCGCTATCAATAAGATGTGCCAATATAGAACAGCGAATAGATTTTCTCTGGCCCTTTATGTACCAGGTTGGTAAATGTTCACTCATTCGTTGGTTAAGTTGCCTGGTAGTACGCCCGATATAGCTATCTCCACAGGAGCAGCTGAATTTGTAAATGCACATAGAAGAGGTCAACTCAGGTAACTTATCCTTCGTTTGAGTAGACATCGCTGATCGACAAAAGAAGGTCAACGCAAGATTGGCTGCGTAGAATGTCCTGGTGATTACTTTGGTTAACCTATATTTCAGAGTGTCACTAGCCACATCCCCGTTGAATTGCACTTTCATGTATAAAGGTTTCTTACGAACAGTCGAAATCTCCGACTTCTTTGTTACATCATGCATTCTTGAACTTTCTCTAATACAGAATTTCTTCAATCTAATTCATGTGTATACTTGTCTACGTCTATCAATGTTAGCCTTATTTTTAATTTGTCTTTATTTCTGTGAAGATGAACGAAGCATCCACTTGATCCGTTGCAAAATTCATTGTCATCAGTGCAATTACTTTTATGGATAATTAATCATTTGTATTCCTTGTCTGTTATGTCGTTCTGTCTGTAGTGGAATTGAATAAACTCGCTGTGTTGTGGCTTGTCACAGACATTAAATCCAAAATAGCTTTAGAATCTTTCTATTATATATGATTGAGCAAATTGTTTCTTCGTTTCTGAGGTTACTTTTCATATATATATATTGATTCACTAAACACCTTTTGATAATGTCATCAGTTGGGGGTGGGGGTGGGGGTGGGGTTAGTTGATTATTCTGATAAACAACAAACTGAAAATAAGATAGTGTAGAAGATTTATATCTTAAATGGATCATTTCGATAAAACTAGATAGTTTGCTCAATAGAACTTTTATCATTCTGCTTACGAACAATATGATCAGCATAAATAAATCATGAATACTGCACAACTAAACTATCTCTAGCTTAGTGAATAAAACTTCATCAAGAATGAAAGTGAATTTCTTCAATTCTTTTCATTAATTTTGTTTATGTTACATCCGAGAGAAGATTACATTACGAGTGATGTCTGAGACCTATTAATGGACTAATATTATCTATACATTCTTATGGTATAACTATTCAATAATTACATTAGGTATATCTATATTCCTCTTATTATAAGCTTTATTTTGACCTGCATATTATTACTTTACGATTTACGGTTCTTAAGCTATATTCAGTTTGTTGACTACTGTTTCCCACGTTCACAGCCACTTTTTGGCTTTATTGTGTACAAATGCTATTTCCTATTTTATGGTGCGATGCGGTTTGTTTGGCTGATATATAAACCCAGTGTGTTTGAAATATATGATTCGATTCGTTTCGATTCGCATAGTGGAAGCTGGTATTTGTGTTATGGACTCAAGTGGACATGCTAGGCGAACATAGAACCAAATAAGGACGCTATGCTGCTCATACCGGTTGAACGTCATTGGTTTGGCGGCACAGTGCTAAGATTGTATAAGTCGTATCTTGATTGGTGGATAAATCAGGTTATAACACTCTGACACTTTAAATATTCCCAAATTGTAAATAAAACATCTTATATGCATATACCATAACTTTTGAACTAAGTACAATCAGTGATTAATTAGGCTAATTATATTAACATTCTACTATGTCAGTGGTTGAGATGTTTTTTTTTAACGATTTCCTACCAAAAGTATGTGTTAAGATAATGTGAATGATAATTCCTTAAAGTACTTTACAGTTTCGTGAATTGGTTGAGGTTAGACATTAACACTGTTAGATACTGGCTCAATGGTCTAGAGTTTAAGCGTTCGCGCGTGAGACCGGAGGCCCTTGGTTCAATTCGGTTCGTTTTGATTCGCATAGTGGAAGCTGGTATTTAGTGTTCTGGACTCAAGTGGACAAGCTAAGCGAACATAGAACCAAATAAGGACGCTAGGCTGCTCATACCGGTTGAACGTCATTGGTTTGGCGGCACAGTGCTAAGATTGTATAAGTCGTATGTTGATTGGTGGATAAATCACATGGTAACTAGCGTTACAGTTTATTTATTTAAATTTTAACACTTTTTCTTTTCTTTTTCTTTTCTAGATTGATAATTTAGATGTAATTGGTAAATCACAAGCACAAATTGTAGCTATATTACGAATTAAACCAGTTGGTAGTATTGTTCATTTATTAGTACGTCGTCAAGTGCATCAATGTCAATTAAATACAAATAATTGTTTAACATGTCATTTCTTATTAAATTCAACCTATCAATGTCCAAATTTATTAAATACACCAATGAATCAAATAACAAATCATTTAACTTGTGAGAAATTATCTAATTGGGTTGATACACGTAAATGTTCATCACCACCATTACAAATGACATTATATTATGATGGATTAACTAATTTAGAACGTGTTTATCATCCAAATTATCCAGTAAGTTGAATATTAATTAGTTTTTTAAGTGTTTAACGTTCGAAACTCACGAAGCGAGATTATGGATGTACAGTGCCACTGTGGAATCACATAATAGGATGAAGCGACTATTCAGTGATTCCAAGTTTTCCATGGTGGTGTAGCTTTGATTGGATCATGATCTCAACTATTGAAATTACTATTTCCTTTTGTTTAGATGTAGTGTAGTAAACAATTTTAAATAGAGTAAACATGAACAAGCATTGTCCTTTGAATTATCCAGTATTTATCCTGTTTTATCATTTCATATCATAGACCAACTTTATTTAGACAATTAGTGTAAAGCAAGCCCTATACTGATAATTAACATGTGCTCACTTATGAATAGCTTCGTGAGGGAATTCTCGGAGTTCTAGTGAGAAGCCGTGACCAGTGGAGCTAATCTGTGTCGAGTAGAGACAGGTATCTACCTCAGTACAAAAGAAGATGGTCGCGTAATTTAGTGGATTGGTTGATGTTAGAAATTAACACCATTGGATGCCAGCTCAGTGATCCAGTAGGTTAAGCGTTCGCGCACGAGACTGAAGGCCCTGGGTTGGAATCCCGTGAACGGGATCGTGGATGCGCACTGCTGTGGAGTCCCACAATAGGACGAAACGGCAGTCCAGTGCTTCTAGTTTTTAATGGTGGTCTAACACTAATCGGCTCATGATCTCATTCTAAAACAAAAAGCACTGAGCTTTCAGACCTCATTAGCCAGAGGCATAATCTCCTGACTACTTAGTCGATATCCATTGGTTAAGATTTATAACCTTGTCCTTGATATTTATTTATAAGTTCAGTCAATTTGAGATATCCTGGATTCGAATTTCAGTTAGGCTGTGGATGGGCACTTCTCTAGAGTCTCGAAATTCGATTTAGGGTCCACATACTGATTAATTCAACAGAAAAGTGTTCTTTCAGTGGATATTCTACATATATTTGTCAGAATATTACCATGGTAAGCAAGCAGATTTAGAATAGGAGATTCATGGATTGATTTAGACAACATGAAAAACAGTGTAGTTGTTAGTTTCTTGATTAACATTGTTTTTACGACAAAGTTGATCGTGATAAGGTATTGGAAAAAAGTGAGATATCGTGTATGTTAGACTAAAATATCATAAAATCAGGATTATGATATATGAACGGAATTTGGCCAACATCATTTTAGGAAAATAATCTACGTCCAGTATAATGGTTACATAGTTTCATAGGTTAAATCACGAACTGTTATTAGCTAGATCATTGTTGAAAACTAATAAGCATTAGATAATTGCTTAATCCTAGTATAGGACTAGTTAACAGTAGTCATTCTTGCTTCCACCACCCAAGCTCGAATTCATGATCTTGAATCCAGTGTACTAACACTTAACTTTTAGATCCCTGAAGCGTTATTCAGGATCTCACATGTTTAACTTCGTCCAAATCACAATATCGCACCATCATTTTGGATTGTCTACACTGGATAACTATCTCACACCCTATCTAGTTGGACTCTATTGATCACCATTATATATTTATTAAGAAAACAAAGGGGGGGGGTTGTATATTTCATAAGATTGATAATTGAATTTTTTCACAAATACAAAAAGAATATATAATATCCATATGATTTATTCCAAAATCACTTTCTTCTGAGTGAAAACAATAGTTCCCCTCACCGCGCCCCCCCCCCAAGAAAATAAGTTCCCTTAGTTATTATGATTGTTAAACTATATTGATTATTTAATTTTAATCGTTATTTCGTATTCTATTTTTTTTTAATTTTAATTTTTAGCTTTATCCAGATGTGATACTACTTCGTTTACATATTCCACTTATTCCTATCAATGAAGAGAATGTAGATCATCTTAAAAATTCTAAAAATTGTTTAGATACTACTACTAATACTACTACTACTGATAATAATAATAATAGTAATAGTAATAACCCATTAACTACAACAAGTTTACGTCAAATGCGTCTTGGTGTTAGTGTACGTGAATCTAATTCATCAAGAGCAAGTAAATTAAATGAATTATCACAGAATACAATTAAATTAAAAACAAATATAAATAAAAATAATGATAAAATAAATCCCATCAATTCATTAACTGATACATCATATATTGCTGATTCTATATATGGTGGTGTCATAGTGAAATGTGTCATAGAAGGTGGAGCTGCACATAAAGTAAGTAGCCCTTCCACTTCCCCCCCTCCTTTTTTTTCCTTGTTTACAAATGGATTCTACTATTATTTGTATTATATAAATATAAGGTAATCATATCATGAAATGTGTATTACACTATAGTCTTATATTATTGATAACATTGTATAATAGAGATGTGAAAAACCTGTGTTATTTCTGGGGGATATTGATGCCGTGAATCTCAAATCAAATTGACATTCTTTAAAATATATCATTAAACAAGTAGCTGCAACTATGTGTTATGGGGAAGGTTTGTACTCATTGACAATTTAATAGATAAGATGATAGTCAGCTAATATGTGGTTAGTTCTGGGCTTAAAAATTATCTTTGTGTCTACGTAAATTTACGCTACTGAAAGGTAGAGATGACAGAAATTGAAATTATTATTAATTCATGTAAAAGTTCTGATTAGGTTATTTTAGATTTTTCTATATGAAAAATGTAATCTGTTTAGTGCTACTCTTTATGTGCGTAAAGGCATTTTATTCTTCATGACCAGAAAACATCAACACTTCCCCCGTAGTTAATCCTTCTTATGCAGCCCGCGTCCAGTAAATTTGTTATATCTGGTCATAGAAATTGTTATGTTCGGTCGTCGCCAATTGATGTGCCGGAAAAAAAACGCTGATGTGAAAGTAAGAACAAAACGACTGGTATAAGTGAAGATTTATTAACCCCAAAACACGACAACTCTGGTCTAAAATACACTGGTTTATATATTGATTGTACACCCATTTTGATTAATAATTAGGATGAAATCACATACTTAGTTATAACAACTCACAGACTGTGAACATACTTCATGTTCAACTGAATACAAGAATATCTCGTATATTCTACAGAAGAAAATATCATATTGGGAAAACAAATCAAATACTACACTGAATGATCCTCATATTGAATCAGAATGGATGTTGAATGTTGAATAAAACTCATAATGAGTAATTCAATCGAGGAATTGATTTTTCTTACCACCATATCAAGCAATAAATAATCTACTGGGTATAACTCGGGTCCTAACAAAATTTCAATGATTCGAAGCACCTCTCAATTGTGTTTTTTATTTCTACTTCTATTAGAATAGTTTTCTAGGTCTCCTACATTGCCCGAATGTTCCTTGTTCCAATATTCATTATTGTTTTTGTTGTCAGAAGGAGTATTTGACTGGTGACTTCCAAAGATTCTCGGCTTACATCGTGAGGTGTCATAAATTTACTAAATATAAACCCTTATATCCCCAGGGAAGAATTCAGATTGTTTTTTTTTCTGGTTAACGTTATTTTAGCAAGATTCTTTTCCTCAGGATAGATTTTCTACCGCCATTCTCAACTCTCCCTACTTCTGTCTAACCTTGTGACTGACAATGTCTCTAGAAGAGCTCCAGGTGGAGCTCAATTAAATTTATGGAACAGTTTAACGGAACGATTAACCTTTAAACTACTGAGCCCGTACTGATCGACCATCTACTGTTACATTCAACTACCTCACAACTTAACAGTGTAAAGTCACTGGTCATGACTTTTCGTTAGACAAGAGATGGTAATTATCAATATAGATGTTAGAGATATGTACCTTTAGTTCCTTGCTCAGTGATCTAGGGGTCAGGTGTTCGATTTAGACCGTAGGTGATGGGGTCGATCCCTTAAAAAGCTATTATTGATGCTCATTGGATAAAAGTCTATGAGGAAATAACTGTTTAGTCCCCTCCCCAAGCATTCATTGGATGCCAAACTTATGTCGATTGGTAATATGATATTGCAAACCGATTAGAAATGGTCAAACGAGGTCACAGTCAGAAATGACCTAAAAAACAAATGAATATTATTGGCTAAGAAATGAATTGACTTTCTGAGGGGTATTTATATAAGTATTTGTGCATATCATTCGATAGCCCAATATACTTTCTTCTCCACTCTTGTTTTTTTGCTGTAGTCAAGTGGGGGGTTATCTTGTAGCACATTGTGTATCAATATCAGATCTCGGTTACTGCTCATCATAACGGTTACTGGAGACGTTTTTTCTCCGCCAGCCATAACATAATATCTTTTTTACTAGCAATAATACTATTAATAATTCTACCACTTTAGAATTTATCTTAATAATTTCATCTTGTGCTAATACAGTTTAGTAACTTGAACCAATCCATATATGTTTCAGCTTATATATTACACATAACTAACTAAGTAACTGATTGATTGATTTTCTTCAAGTGATTATTACCTTAAATGCTTATCCTGATGTTTCTTGGTTGTAATTACCATCCAACAAATAAATTTAATTTCTATCATTCATTTTCAATTCTAAGCAACTGGTTATACACAATATGCATTTCATTATTAGAATTGAAACTTTAAAAAATTAGAAATTGACATCATTGGATACCGGCTTAGTGACCTAGAGGTTAGGCGTTCGCGCGCGTGATCGAAGGTCCTGGGCTCGACTCGCACCTGCGGAATCGCGGATAGTCACTACTGAGGAGTCCATACTAGGACGAAACGGTAGTCTGTAGCTTCCAGGTTCTCAATGGCGATCTAGCTTAGATTAGTGAATTCAATTGTGAAAATACTAAAATTTTCACACTAATAAGTTTTTCATTTTTGTTTGTGATGTATATACTTAATGGATTAATTTTTATTGTCATCAAATACTAACACAGGATGGTCGACTTCAAATCGGTGATGAATTGTTGGAGATTAATGGAGTTGTTTTGGTTAATGCAAACAATCCATTAAGTTTATTACGTTCTGTTCTAAGGAAATTATCTAATACAACTGTAAATGACAATAAAAATTGTGATGATGATGATAATAATATGACTACAACTTCAACAAGTGTAACAAATAGAACAACCACGACAATAACAACATCAACAAATGCTTATAGTTCTATTGCTACTACTGATACTACTACTATTACCACTAGTACTACAAGTAATATTAATTCTATAACAGCTTCACCTACTAAGAAAAATGATCAGAATACAACTTCTAAGTCTACCTTCGATAAAGAAGATTCAATGGAAATGTTAGATACAATTCAACCAAAAGTGGTAGATTTATTGATAGCTCGATTAACAAGGCATCGAAGATCTGCATCTGGACACACTGTAAGTATTCACAATTTATTTCGATATGTATATACAGTTTTGTCTGGTTAGCGTTCTTTGTAGCAAGGTTGTTCTCTACAGGATGGGGTTGTTGACCCCATGCTCAATCCTTCTCCATTACTCGGGTTTGAGACCAGCAGTAACCCCAGAAAAGAAGCGGGCGGAGTTATATATATATATATATATATATATATAATTTGTTGGTTGAATAACAATGTGTGGCCCAAACACTGATGACATATTAGATGTTAAATGCCTGAATAATCTAGGCTTTGTACTCAATGAAAATTATCAATGAGATTTATCCTACGCTCTGGGTTGAATTATACTATGATTCAGTCTTCCCATATTTGGCTATGAATTTTTGAAGGTGACGAACATCACTCAAACAAAATTCTTCATTATCTGAATATAATCTTTTGACGCAATTAAAAAGCGTTCTAACCAAGACTCTTTCCTATAGATCACTACACTTCATACCAACGTCTTGCAACTTAATTCATGATAAATGTTTGTAAACTTTATTCTGGTGTAATAATTTCTTTTCCAAGTAATAAGAGCTTGCATAAATTGTTATAGTTTACATTGCTGACTGCACCTTAGTTGGACAACTAAGAAGCACTGAAGATCACCCACCAATGATATTGGAAGACAGTTATGCAACATCGTGAAATGAATAAACTTTGACACGTTCATCAGATGGTGCGATTTCTGTGGATTAAGGGTAACCATTCTCTTCGAGCAGTGAAGGTCTCGAATTCGACTCACTATAGTAAAGTCATGGATTATCACTAGGTAGAATATGCTTTTCAGTGCCTAATGTCTTTCAAAGATTAATCAAGAACAATCTTTGATGTAAACTATAAAAGCTTCCTTTCTGGATATCTTACTTCTATCCTTTGTTTATCTCAATAAACTATAGCTAGCATCGAACTCCGAGTTTAGTTCAGAAACTTCGACGTCAAGCACTGTGCTAACTGCTACACCAAAGTTTTTACCACCTGTCAATAATAAGACTAGTCCTGAATCATCATGTATTAGTCAAGAACAATCCATAGATCATCATCATGGTAGTCATCAACATCACCAACATCGCCATCACCATCATCATCGGCATCATCGTCATTTGTCTCAACCACAACAAAAATGTTACTGTTCAAATCCTTTAACAACTTCATCTTCATTGTCATCATCACCTTCATCACTTACAACAAATCCTACTGAGAGTGAAACACATGTTACTACAATCAATGCTAATGACATACAAAACATGAATAATAACGCTAAAAATAACGAAACACCGAAAATTAAAGCAGAAATACATTCAGTCAAAGTGGAACAGGAAGATAATGCTACTGATGATGATATTATCATTACTACTAAAACGACTCTTAGAGATGACTGTGCCACCTAAAATGATTAAATCATAGTTACACAGATTCCTGTATAGTAAGTCATTTTACATAAATGATGATATCTTACATTTTCCTATCATAGAGAAGATTTACAATGCTGTTGATACCTTTGATTATTCAGTGACTCCCTAGTTGTGACTGGGCTCACTCCACAAATTACCAACTGGTTAGCAGTTGAACATATACTTAGAGCGACAGAAAGAGGGAGCCTCACATGATCCCCTTTAAATATATATGTATACACATATAACAGTACGATGTTTTATAAACGAAAGCAAAACTCTAAGGAAAACATCTATTATTTGAAGGGAATTTACGTCTTGAAGTAACAAAACAATTTTAAGGATCGTTCAAAAATTAAAAGGCATGAAATACTTATTTTGTACCAGTTTCAAATTTGTCACAATCTCATACATGATGAAACCGAATAAATTTATATCATGTAATGTGAACAATATGGATAAAACTCCTACCGTATTAGCAATAATAGTAACAATAACAGTAATAAATTTTGTATTATTTGTTTGAATCTTCCGCCAACGGGATGGTGGCTTGGAGTCGAATAGAAGATGGCGTTTCGTCCAACTCGAGGCTCTTCAGCTGGATGTACTCGCATCCCAGAGCTAATATTTACTTCAGGACTCGTACCCAGTACCATTTACTTCGAGTGAACATCAACTCTGGGATTTTGGTACATCAAGGTGACAAGTACCAAATAGAACGAAAGGCACGTCCCGGATACCATTACTAGAAAAGGTGAAGATTTACAAACTTCCTTGGTGTACTAATTTGATGTTTTAAATATTTAGGATCATAAAATATTGTAAACTTTTGATGAAAGCACGCGATTATATTATAAAGTCTACCTTACATCCATGGAAAAAACTATCATTGAAAGTAGGAGATATGCGTAGTCTGAAGAATTTGATCATAGTTGTTTGCAAAGTATTGCTCACACGTCGCAGAACGATCGAGTGAGTAATGCAGAGGTTAGTTATAGGGTACTACGCAAAGACGGAAATCAGTTGATGGGATTTTAAATCTTTTTTGACTGACGCAGTTAAAGAATATATTACGCATGTATAACCAGTACTTATCATAACTCATGATGTTAGCCAGTGTAGAAGTAGGTTAGAAGAAATTTGGCTTAGCCATAACAAAGAGTAATATCAGCCTATAAAGTCAGTAACTATTGAACAGCACCATGTAGGTAGATTCAGGCCACCTGCTAAGGGTCCACGAAATAATCGCAATCAGTCGTTGGATATACTGGGTAATAGGGATCAAAATTGGTTACAATGACACTCATTCACACTATCTTCATCTTCCCCTTCAACTTAATTTTCAGTATTTGCTTTAGTTATGTCGTTCCAGACCATATTCTAAGTTCATTGTTTATTTCATTATCAACTTAACAACATTATTTCGACTTCCTTCGCTATTCATTGTGTTTAAATTCATCTTGTGCAGATGCGATATATCAACCAATCTAGCCCACATTTTTTTGCAAGATCTATATTGATCAGGACTGGCTATTTGTCACATCATAAAACGCCATGACTAACACCAAGTTAACTCACTTTACTAATTCATGAAAATTATTTGTATAGTGTGAAAATAATGAGTTATTTGTTACAATTAACTTTATTAATTGTAACAAACTTAAACGTCTACACTCAAAACCGAAGGTTCGAACCCCATGAGCAGGATCGTGAGTGCATACTGCTAAGGAGTCACACAATAGGACGAAACGGCCATTCAGTGCTTTCAGGTTTTCTATGCTAATCAATTGACTCATGATATCAACTATTGAAATTGTTTTTCTCAAATAATCTATTTCTTATTTCTTTTTTTCAGACAATTAAGAAAAATGAATGAAAATTAGTTTTCTAAACGTACTTTTACTTCTATACATTAGAGAATTATTCATTTATGTGAATTATTATTGAAAACTACCTCAATCTCATTATTATTACATCATTATTACTATTATTAATACTACTACTACTACTACTACTACCACCATTATTCAGTAGTTTGTCGTTTTTTTTAGCTGAAATATAAAAACCGCTCAAATTTACATTTGTAAACAACGACAATATCAATAATAATAATAATAATAATAATAATAATAATAATAATAATAATGTTATGCTACATTCCCTCTCTTGCCTCGTAACCAAACAAACTCTGTCCTCACAGGTAGCGAGAGAAAGAGAGAGAGAGTGAGGGAGAGAGAGAGAAAGAGGGAGAGTGATCAAGTGAAGGTGTGAGTGAGTGAGTGAGTGAGGGAGGGAGGGAGTGAGAGCGATTAGTTTATTCCATTGTATAGAAGCCAAAACCATATTTTCTATTATCATAAACTATTTTCTTTCTTTGTTTTTTCCCATTTTATTTGTGAATAATTAATTTTTCAAGACAATGACAAAGTGAAAGAAACGAATCCGATATTGTTTTGACTAATTATTTTCTATTTATTTCTAATATTAAATAGTTATTGTTTATTCAAAATCTCATCTATTGGCTTGTATGTTTGTTTGTTTTTTCTATAACGTATTTCATTCACATTTTCAATTTATAACATTGAATAAGATACTACTTATATTACTAAATAAACTCACATTTTTTTATGATGAAGATTTCAAATCAATTTTTAGTTGTGACATATACATACATCATTGGAATAGTTCATGATGATTTGCTGTGTTCCTAGTGATGGTGGCGGTGGCGGTAACGGTGGGGTAGTATTTAAGGCTTCGTTGTTTCGTTCGTTTTTTTTGTTTCTTACTTTCAATTATTTTTTTCGAATTATATGATTGTATAAAATGAATTGATCCTTTTCTTGATTCTCTTGTCTCTACACTCAATTTTCTTTTCTTCTTAAATCATTTTTATTATGGTTTATTCACATGCAACATATATCGGTTAGATGATGATGATGATGATGATGATGATGATGATGATGATAATGATATGAAAACTTTAAAAAAAGAAGAAGAAAAGAAATACAACATCGATCGATGTTTTTTTGTTATTGTTGTTACTACGATTATGTTACTATGACAACAATGATCATCATTAATCCTATTAAGTTCTATTACTCAAGTTTTTCCCAAATAAATATGATGATTTTCAACAACAACAAAAAACAGTAAATAAATAGAAATGATCATTATTTTTTTTGTTTGTTTGTTTAATATATTCATGACAGAATTTACTTCATCATGTTGTAGATACTGATGTAAATAATTAAATGATCATTGAATATTTGATTCTAGTCACTTAGTTGTTTTTCATTTTCATAGTCAAATAGATTGCTAACATTTTTAGTGATTACGTCATTGCAATAATACTCTATTACATAATAATCGAATATATATAAATATACATTAATGTATATTCATTTTCTTGGATGAATATCGTTGAATGAATGATCATTGAGGTGAGATGATCCATCCACTTTTATCGTTGAATAACAAATGGTTCTTTTTCGTTTCTCTTCTTTTGATATACACAATTATGATTTCCACCCCCATCCTCCTTTCATGTATATTTCTTATTTCGTAACCATTAATAGTAATAAAAAAACAACGATTATAGTTTTATGCACAGATATTAAATTTAATTCATATAAGATTTATGTGAAATATATGAATATCTATTTTATATTCCTCTATTTAAATTTCTCCACAAATATGGAACTCCCCCCTTTTTTTGTTTGATCTCATTTATTCAATCAACCAACCACCCACCCAGTTACTCATTCCCCCACCCAATCAATTAATCACTAACTGTCTATCTCTTTGAATGTCTGTTGCCTTATTGATTCAAATCATAATGACATGAATTGAATAATTTATTATTTTCTTTGAAAAAAAATATTCAATAATCATTCATTTTTCCTTTTTTTCTTTTTTCTTCATTTCTTTATTTATATTATTTACTTATATAAGAAAAAAATATAAAAGAAGAAGAAGAAGAAGAAAATAATTCGTTTCAATGAGAAAGAAAAAAAAAGCAAGATGAGAATTTCACCTTTTTATTTCTCTCTTTCTTCTTCTTTTGTTGTTGTCGTTGTTGTTGTTCGTTTTTTCTTTTTCTTTGTCTTCTTCTTGACATAAAAAAAAACTTTGTAAACATTCAAATCTAAAAAGAAAACGGTTCTTCCAGATCTTCCTCCCTCTCTCTCTCTCTCTTTCTCTGTCTCTCTCTCTCTTATTAACTTTTGTTTATTATTCTCTTAATTCATACTTCTTTCTATTCGATGAATCTTTTGTTTTGATTTTCTCTCTTTAAAATGTGTACACATGACTCACTTATGTCTATATCATTATTCATTGAATAAAAAATCAATAAATCAATAAATCAATACCAAGATTATTAAAAAAATAAATTGATTAAAAAAATTCAGATTATATAATTAAATATATTATTGATTAATTATTGATTTTTTTAATTAAAAAGTTCGTATAAGGTTTGTGGAGATTACTAGGTTTTTTTGATTGAGATCATGAACTGAATTATGTTAGACTACTAGTGAATAACTGGAGGCATTGAACGGTCATTTTGTCCTATTGTGGGAATCCTGAGCAGTGTGCATCCATGATCCTGTCTCGCGTGATTTGAATTCAGGACCTATCGGTTTCGCGCGCGAGCACTTAACCAACTAGACCACTGAGCCAGCTGTCTTCTAACAGTGTTAATGTCTAACTTCAACTAGTCCACGAAATTGAGAAACACATCCATCATTGTCATCAGTGAGTTACTATCTCATAACAGATCTGGTTGAACTCCACTGATCACTGCTTCTCACTAGAACTTTACAATATACCCCTTGAAGCCAGTCACTAGTGAGCAAATGTTGATTCATATCAGAAGAGGCTTTGTGGATATTATAATAATTTTAATGGTTGACATATTGAGTCAATTGAAGCTAAACCACCATGGAAAACCTAGATCGTGGATGCACACTGCTGAGAAGTCTCACGATAGGTAGGAACAGTTGTCTAGTGCTTTCAGTTTTTCCATGGCAGTCTAGTTTCACTGGACTCATGATCTTAACTATTGAAATCACTATAATATCCACAAAAACCCCTTCTGATGTTCTATCATGAATTGTGATGTTATAAATGAAACTGAAATTATTATTAACGCTTTGACTGAGAATTAAAAGAAAAAGATTATTCTCTCAATTGAATGATGGACAGATCATTCGATGATCAACATTATCATGAATGAAGGAAAACTAAATTCCTTAAAAAGTCTATGAGATTTTTAATTGATTTTTTACTCTCCCCCCATCCCTTCTATTTAATCTTTGTAGTGTTGGTTACTACGTCAAACCCATATAGCATATTCTAGATTCCGGACAGGCCAATTTATTCATTCTTCTTGAGTCACATTTGGATCTTGTTGATTATTCACTTATCAACCCTGACCGTTTTTATCTGGGCCTATGTGTGTGTGTATATTTTATCCTACTCATCACATGTTTGTAGCTTAATGTTGTGTGACTATAAATATTGATTAACGTTTGATTAAATCGAGTTGACTCGTATACTTTCTCCACTGAGCGTCATTTCGTTTCGTTCTCTTCTCTTCGTTTCCTTCGCTTCATTCTTCCTATTGCCTTTCTAGATCAATGAATGTACACAATATATGTATTCGAAAATCCATTCTTGTATCCGTTATTCGCTTATGCGATCTAAGTCAATAATTATATAGGAGGATTGATGATATGTATATTTCAATAGCAATCTGAAGCGATCAAACTGGAGTCAGATATAGGGTCACAAAAGTGATGAGCCTATCAATAACATCGTCCGATCTAATTGACGTGTAAATGTATGGTCCAACTAAAATTTAAGTTTATGATCTCAATCAAAAACTTAATAATCTCCACAACCCCTATACTAGTAATCAACATGTGCTCACTGATGACTAGCTTGATGAGGAAATTCTCGGAGTTCGAGTGAGAAGCCGTGACCAGTGGAGTTAATCCATGTCGGGTAGTGACAGTTATCTACCTCAGTACAATAGAAGATGAACGCGCAATTTCGTGAATTGGTTGGTGTTAAACACTATCACCGTTGGATGCCGGCTCAGTGGTCCAGTAGGTTAAGCGTTCACGCTCAAGACCGAAGGCCCTGGGTTTCAATCTCGCTAGCGGGATCGTGGATGAGCACTGCTGTGGAGTCCCACAATAAAACGAAACGGCTGTCTAGTGCTTCTAGGTTTCAATGATGGTCTAAGATCAATCAGTTTATGATCTCAATCAGAAAATGTTATAATTTTCATGACCCCATACTGAAAAGGAATTATGTTCGAAACCTTATATGAGCATTAAACCCACTAGGCACAATTTATCTACTTTGAAAAACGTTTGTAACAAAACGATTCAATTGAAGCGATCCGCTCATGATGCATATATGCCGACAAAGACAAATTCACATTCATACCGCAACAAAACATATTTTTTCATTTGCTACTAACGTGTCTCAATAGATTCGATTAATTAAGCTAAATAATGTTTATTTTTTTGATATCAGACTTCCAAGTAAACTAATTTTTTTACTTTTACCAATCAACCTTGTCCATGCAGAGTAAATCCGATGGTTTCCGTGAATGACTGAACAGCAGTACGCAGTGACAACCTGAAACAAGATTATGTTTATGGTCTTCTGAATTTTGCACCGACTGTAAAACATTTTAAATTATTCCAATAATCTATATTTACAACCTTTGACCTTTTCTTGATATCACTCGATTACCATCTGTAATCACTAGCACACAGTTAATAACTGCCTCATATCTCGCGTCAATGAGCTCTACTAGAGACAACCTTTCTACTCAGTTTCAGGATTCAAGATTTTCCACTTACTTTCTTACGACTATGGAAGACCATAGGCAACCCACCAGTATTCTCCATCGAGCCTTGTCCTGGACAATCCTTTTTCAGTTGCTATTCGTCTTTTTCATATCTACATCCAATTTTCGGAGCAGTGTGTTCTTTGGTCTTCTTCTTTTTGGGTTCACTTTAGAAATCGAAGTTAGAGCTTACTTTGTAATGTAGTTTGGTGAATTCCTCAATGTATTTCCTATCCACTTCCAAGATCTCTTTCTAATTTCCTCTCCACCTGAAAGTTTGTTTGTTCTCTCCCAAAATAGGCTGTTACTGATGGCATTTGACCAACAAACATCCACTATCTTGCGTAGACAATTGTTTTTATAGATTGACGATTACTGATGAAATTTATATGACTTCAACTAGAAAACACTTATCCGACGTTAATGTTGTAATTCCTCATGATAAAGCTAAATTAGTAAAGTGCTTTTTAAAGCTGAGTATAATATTAATTGTTGTAGCTATTCGTTAACCCTTTTTGATCTAATGACACTGGTTTGTGAGAATTATGTTTTGAGGAGTTTCATGAAAAAGGAAGCCCATTAATTGAAGCTTATTCAAATTAATAATACAACTGTCTTAATTATATTTTAAACAGGCCTGTTTTTATTGTTTGAATCTAATTAGAATCAATATCAGTTTGTTGTAGTTACTTTCTTATCCGTATTTGTACGATTTCACTTTATATCAATATACACCACTGTGAAGACGGCTCACTAGTGAATTCGACAAAGCTCTAAGAAGCTCAAGAAGAGACAATGGCATTTAGCCATCTTTTAGGAGAACATTACACAATCTCGACGTGTAGCTTCTCTATTAGAGAAATGCTAAAAACCACTGTATGTGGATTGGATGACTATAATGATGATTTAGCTGAGAGTTTTGTACCATATTTGACACTGTTTGAAATAGTATTCCTTCTCACTCATCTTGTGTCTTCTCATTTTCGACTTGGAAGGTTCTAACATTCGAGTGCTCAAATTGTACGCGGAATATCAAGAATGTAATCTTAATATATAACAACACTAAAGAACTAAGTAATCATGGTAGATTATCGTTATTTATGTTTTATTAGGAGCAGATAATTCTGATTTGAGGATACCACAGGAAGTACTAAGATAGATGTTTTATGACAATATACGATTCTTCAATTATGTAAACCAGAGATTGAACCCATAACAATCTGATCTGCCGGTAAATGAATAACCATCAGTTTAACTTTGAGTGATTTACTTTAAGATTTATGCTCAATAATCATCGTTATTGTTATTTAACATACATTTACCCATCTATTAACAAGTAAACATTACTAAACCTACATGTTTCATTCTGTCACTTGTTTTTCCAGTTCTCCTTACATATTGAATATTTGTTTAATTATTAGAACATTTCATGGAATAGAATGTTTGTTACTGTTATATATTCAGTCGTCGCAATTGTTGTGCCGAAAAAAAACGCTGATCACTTATACTCGGAACGAGGGACTTCGGCAATCCCCACGATGCGAAAGTAAAAAACAGAAAGACTGGTATAAGTGATGATTTATTAGCCCCAAACACTATGAGGACGACGAATCGAATCTAGTCTAAAATACACTGGTTTATATATTGATTGTACACCCGTTTTGATTAATAATTAGGATTAAATCACATACTCAGTTATAACAGATCACAGACTGTGAACATAGTTCGTGTCAACTGAATACAAGAATATCTCGTATATTCTACAGAAGAAAATATCATACTGGGAGAACAAATCAAATACTACACTGAATGATCGTCATGTTGAATCAAAACGGATGTTGAATGTTGAATAAAACTCATAATGAGTAAATCAATCGAAAATTGATTTCTCTTACCATCATATCACAAACTTATCACTGGTACCTCTGTTTTAACTTCAAAGAATGTTAGAACCAGAAACTAATCTATATGATTATCTAATAGAATAGCATCGTCTTTTTCAATACTCCCTTCACATGATTGTATGACTTTAATAGACAAGATCTGAGAAATATTACTGGTAAGTAAGCACTGGATAATTATTACGTGCTAGGATAGGAATCCTAAGGAGTATACATCCACGACCTCGTCACAGGAGATCAGGTTTAGGAACTACATTCTAGTGTGTAAACCTTAACCTCTAGACTACTGAGACAAAATCCAATGGTCTACATATCTAACCTCAATCACTTCAAGATATTGTGTGACCATCTACAAATGCCTGCAATGGATGATTCTTTCACACCTGATATGGCTGAAATTCACCGGTCACGGATTCTCACCTGAATACTGGGAAATAAATCTTGAAGTCATGTGGTTACTGTCAATATATAATGCACCATAGGATGCCAGATCAGTGATCCAGAAGTCAGGCATTCGAAGTTGCTGGACTCGATCACCTGTGATATGATAGTGGATGTATACTGCTCAGGCGTCCCATACTACGACGAAACAATTATCTACTACTTCCTGGTTTTCAATGTTGATCTGACTAAGATCAGTTCGCGGTTTAAACTAAGACATTAATTTCAGTCAAC